ATATAGCAGCTTTGTACTTCCATCACATACGCGTAAACAGGGAGAAGACCGTTTGAGCTCATATGTCTTTCTTCATACATTGTCTATTGTACATGCGCATCTTTCCTGAAATGGCGCATTGTTCACTCACTCATTAGCTTTTTTCCGTAAACTTTTTTTCATCATCCCTTTGTTTTTTTTGTGTTGGTTTTCTTTTTACCAGCCCTGCTTCTTCAACTCAATCACCTTGCTGACCGCAGCCTTGAAGCCCGTCTTGAACCTGGCCCTCCACCGCTGACTCCTTAACCTCTTCTTCTTCAGGCCCTTTCGCTCGTGGAACTTTTGCGAATGGTACTTGTTCTTGACCTTTTGCTCGCGGCACATCCTCTCGAGCACCCGAATGGCCACGACGGGGGTGGGGGCGGATGTCGGGGAGAGACGGTCCTTGATGAAGACGGTGCGACCCGTGACGGCCTTGGCGCGGATTTTGGGGCGGGTGAGGGGGTCTCCTATGCCGAGGGACTGGCCGTAGATGGCGGCCCTGTTGGCGATGATGGAGGCGATGTCGAGGGTGCCGAAGGGGTCGGAGGAGGAGTCGGCGGCGTTGTAGGGGAAAGGGGAGTCGGACTTGGAGGGGGAAGCTTCGGTAGTGTTGGAAGCTTCGGTGGCGGCGGAGGGAGGTGGTGGAGGAGGGGGATGAAGTCGTTCTTGGAGACAGGAGGAGGAGGAGGAGCTGCTGGCTTGGGGGTGGGTTCGGGGGCAACGTAGTTGTTGCCGACTAGAGGGTTTGATCTGATGGGCTGGGCGGGAGGTTGGTTTTGTCGGGTATTGTAATTTATCGCAGAGGCATTGAACCGCAGGGCGAGCGAGGTTGAAAATGCCCGCGCCTGTGAAGGCGTTGATGGGGTGGTGGCTATCCTGGACAGCATCATGCTGCCGTATCTTGATGGTACGGCCCTGTACATTAGTTAGAATGATATACATCTATACATCAATAAATGAATGGTTGAATTGAAGGTTAACTCACATCTTTCTTGAGGTGTCAACGCCTCGACAGCTGCCTTCAATTAGCTGTTGCGATGGGCCCCTTCAAACTTGTCAAAATGCTTGCTTCGCTGTGTGATACAGAAGAAAATGCGGGCGGCCGGATCAATATTGATGCGGGGAGATCTGACATGGTAGTGCCGCCACACACACACCACCACCCCAAACGGGTTGCGCCGCGATTTGTTGAACGTGCAGCAGGTAAGTCTCAGAAAAAGAAGCTGCCCCAGGACAAGAAGGCCCTTTTTTGCAGGATACAACAACGACAACAACCGATATCGTATCCCGGGTTTTCACCAATGCAAGCGAGGAATCTTTGGCTGTAGATTTTTGTGTGAGGAGAGTTATCTTTTGAGACGATACTTTTCAAGATTTCCTTTTTTTCTCTTTCTTTCTTTCTTCTTTCTACTTCGTCTCGCGCCTTCGAGTACGAGAAGTCGTTGGTGGAGGGAGAAGTGCATCACGCGCGCGAGAGAGTGACGGCTCTTGATTACGAGGTCTTTTCAAGATGGCGTACAACCCTTATGGAGGTATACATGATGGCGAACGGTTCAGCGATGTTTCTGGAAGCTGACATGGTAATCGCAGGACATCCCTATGGCGCACCACCAGGCTACGGTGGTTATCCAGGCTCAGGGCCGGGCATGGCCGCTCCTCCTGGCTTAGGTGCGTATTTCAAAACACCCGAGGCCATCATATTACCGCTGCGACTATGGTTTTGCTGACTCTTTGACCGTTACAGGACCTCCACCAGGCATGTCTTCTGCCCCGGGCATGGCCCCTCCTCCGGGCGTCCAGCAAGCCAACGTGCCCCAAGCTAATCGTCCAAGTGGCCTCCCGCCCAACTTCCAAGCGCCGACCAACATGCCCAACATCAACTTCAACGCCCCCGTGATTCGACTCGGCACCGGAGCCTCGGCCTCTGGTGGGAGGTCCGACGACCGGCCAGCGCCCTCGGGACGAGCCGGACTGGGCATGGACAGAGGACAGGACCAAGGTCGGATGGCCGCGAGGGAGAGCATGCAGGCCCTGACGCCCCCATCGAATGAGGAGAAGTTACGGACGATTTTCGTACACCAGATTCCGGAGGGGCTAGGCGGGGACGAGGGCGTGCAGAGGCTACTGGGAGCGGTGGGTAAGCTGAGGCGATGGGATCCCTCTGCCAGTGTTCTGGACGACCACAAGGGTACCAAGTTCGGCTTTGCGCTATTCGACGACCCCGAATCTCTTGCCACGGCCGTGCAGCTATTACAGGACGAGGGCGTGCAGGTCCCGGTCAAGCGCCAGCAGGGATCCAGCGATCCGCCGGCCGACGATTCGTTTGACGATGTCGAGAAGACGAAGCTACAGGTGGCTGTTGACCCAAGCTCGATTAGCTACTTGGAGTCCTACAAGGAGAACAAGGGGGATGACGACCTGGAGCACAGACTGGACGCTGCTAGGCTAGCATTGAAACAGGTTATCCGAGAGCTCTTCTACCCCCGCTGGGCGCCGGCACGGATGCCAATGGCGATGTTGCCATGGGCAATACCGAGACCGAGGAAAACGTGGAAGTGGTGAACATTCCCCTTGCTCAGGAGGATGAGCTGGCCGATATTCCCGCCGAGATGCGAGAGGTCGTGGCCGGCGAGATTGCGGCTTTCAGGGAGCGAAGTAATCGTCGAGATATGGAGCGCTTAAAGAGAGAGGAGGAGATGGAGGAAATGGAGCGACGGCGCAACGGCCTATCACGTCCCTCGCGACTAGACTCACCACCGTCAAATTCCAACAACGTTCCCCTGGGGCCTCGGGGTAGTGCAGTGCCCAACGCCCCCTCTGGGCCCAAGGGGCAGAATGGGAACCGCGGGGTATCCTTTGTCAACGGCGGGATCAACAATGCAGAGTTCTCGGTCAATAGGGGGGACGAGGACACAGATGCTAGCGATGAAGAGTTGTATCGAAGAATCAAGTCCGAACAGCAAGCCGACGAGGATAAGATGTACGCCGAGGTAGAGCGGAAATGGGTCAACAGAGAACGGTCAAGACAAGCGGCTCTAGATCGAGAGCGGGAACGAGAAAAGCACGATGCGGAATCCCTAGAGAGGAGAAAACAGGAGCAGCTGGAGAGGGAGAAGACGTGGGATGATGAGAGGGAGACGAGTCGCAAAACACACATGTACTACCGTGATCGAGCTGCCTGGGCCAGGAAACGAACTTCTGACCGGGCGGATGAGGAAGCCAGAGATGAAGCTGATCGACAGGCGGAACAAGCGGAGAAGCGTCGCGAGCAGGCTCAGTTGGAGCGGGCGAGGGGCATGGCAGACTCGTTCTTGGATCGACAGGCGGAGGAGATGGAGCAGCGACAAGCTGCTTCATCGGCACCACAACCCTTCAAGTTGTCGTTGGGAGCCGCAGCACAGAGAGCCCAGGCATCGAGGGCAGCACCTCAACGACGTACGATTGCGGAAGTGGAGGGTCTTCTCGACGACGAAGAAGCAGAGTCTACGAAGCGACAACTCATCCCTATCCAGATGGACACATCCTCAGCCACGGCCGGCATGTCGGAAGAAGAAATCTCACAGGCCGTACGAGCCCTGGCCCAGGAGATTCCGTCCGAGAAGGAAGGTCTCTGGGGGTGGGCCGTCAAGTGGGAGTTTATGGATGACTCCGTGGTCCGGGATAAGCTCCGGCCGTTTGTGGAGAAGAAGATTGTCGAGTACCTGGGCGTGCAGGAGGAGATGCTGGTGGAGGCTGTGGAGGAGCATTTGCGGAAGCATGGGGATGCGGGAGCATTGGTGGAGGAGCTTGAAGGGGTGAGTTATTTCCCGCGGAGTGCCTTTTTCTTCTTCTTTTCTTCCTCTTTTCTTCCTCTTTCCTTTTTCTCTTCCCCCCCTTTCTTTCTTTCATGAGAGAATTTACGTGCTAACGAGTGATATTAGGCTTTGGACGATGAGGCAGAGGATCTAGTCAAGAAGTTGTGGCGCATGGTGATTTTCTTTACCGAGTGCGAGAAACGTGGGCTCCCGGCGTGATGAAACTAACCAGGACTTGTTATCCCCCTACAATATGGTCCATAAAGAGAGAAAGAATTTGGAGGTTGAAAAGCTGGCTCATGAAGGTTTTTTTTAACATCAAGCGACGATTTAATTGCAAGGCGGATGGGTGGATGCCAGCCTTAATAAAGGGGGATAGCCCGCCGTGTATAACTAAGGAATTTAACTGTTGGAGACTCTCTTCCTCTTACCAGAAGTCAGAAGTCATTTTATGAAAATATTTTCACGGCAATGATGTATTGTTATGGATGGTTATGTCCCTGGGTTAAATCACTATGTGATTTTCTTGGTTGGTATTTCGATACTCGACAGCTGGACCTGTGAATTGTCGGGCGTACATGTATCATGGCCAGTAGTCTCCCCCCCCCCTCTCTTCTCTCTACCTTTGTGTTTTCTTTGTGACGAAAGAAACACTGAGGCCCTAAAGCCCTTTTCGACCAAAACCAATCAAGCAAATTTGTAAAGAAAGAGAACAAGAAAACAGGGGGAGTCTAGCACTATGCGTGGATTCCTTTTGGTGACGGTCCTGCTATAGAGCACCTAAGTGGAAGCAGCACAGTTGACTAAACGGTAAAGTTCAGATGCAATCATCGATTCATGCTACAATAAAGGGACTTTAAAAATAATCTGGCTTTGAATACAGTAACTAGTCTACTGGGTAGATACTTGGGTAGGCAATCTGATGATTGATACACTCGGGTGATAGAAAATCTACAACTGTAGTGGTGCTAGAAAGGGTAAACGCGGACTTTTGTCAGTGGGCTTTACTATAAGCCTGCTGCCTTGGATCAAGGGGAATCTAGTACTTACCATATGCCACTCAAACGGACAGAGAAAAAACTAAAGAACCTGGAAGGAAAGAAAGAAAAAGAGACAAAGAAAAAAAGACCAAAAAAGAAAAAAGAAAGCACATGTTTGAAACGCATCTAGGGCATTTTTGCTTTTTGCTCCCGGCAGGGCTTGAACCTGCGGCCTCCGCATCACTAACAGATCTGGTCGTTGGACCAGGTTTATTAGTACGAAGCTCTAACCAACTGAGCTACGGAAGCGCACAAACGTACTGTACGTTCGAGTTGTTGAGGTCAGTGCGACTGATGGTTAAGAGAGGATTCCCAGTTCCGTTTTCGCCTGGTTGGTGTACTGCTCTAATGACTCTCCCTGGATCCATTCGCAATAGCATTCCATCCTTCGTATATTGGTTTTCTCCATAGCTAGTTTAGGCCATAGTACTAATTTGTTATAAATTCTATTGAAATTTATTGAATCTATCTTAATAAGGAAGTCTTGAAGAAAAAGAAAAAGAAGGAAAAACGGAAATAGTTCACATTGTTAAAGACAACAACAAGACTGTATTAATCTCTGGCCTTACTTTCATCAACCGGGATGTCTATGAGCTATATGCGTATATACACGTATTGAATATAGTACGTAACTTGCCTCGCGGTCTGAGTGACCCTTGGTCCCTTGACAGCTGCCGTGGACGAATCCCGAGAGTCTTTACGCATGCCTCCAACCATCCGTCTATAAACTCCACAGAATAGAGTGTAGATTCAGCTTTAGACTAGTAGGAATGTCTGCAAATCAGCCTCTCCATTCTCGTATTTCGTCTTTATCTCTCCATTCATTATGCCGTGAACGTAGGCAGTACCGACTACTTCCCATGATGGATCGTACGAGTCCTCAGTACCACACACCACCTTATCTGGAACCATGGCTTCGAGTTCGATACGTTCATTGGGCGGTCTTCTTAGCCTCTTAATCAGAGGGGAGTCCGGTCTCCTTGATGTGCCGGCGTATCCCGCCCCAAACCCGTCGTGTACTGCCTTTGTAGAGTCGTCCAGGTAAAGATCATTAGGGTAAATCGTAGATCCTCCATCGTGGATCTTCTTTCGGAGGACGAAAGGAACCATACCGCCGACCAGCACGGCAATCACATCACCTGGCTGAGTATTCATCGGCACAAGAGCGTACAGGCCGGTTGCGGTGATGGCAAATCGCCGCAGTTTGAGCGAATTGACGAGCCGACGATCCATATTCAAACTCATACGCATATCGTGGGGGAACCATGAGTACGCCCCCGCGTTGGCGACATCTTTCTGCCTAAAACTCGCCTCAAGTTCCTTTCGCTCTTCTTTCTCCTCCTCGGTTTCCGGGACACCAAGGTGACAGTTGCCTGACAAAATCGTGGTGATGAACACGCTGATCCTGGACTCCCCAGTCTTGTATGGAGAACCATTGAGGTCAGCTGGCTTCATGATGGAGAGAAGCTCTGCCCATTTCGGAGAGGAGTCATTACGTAGATTTCCAAAACCAAAAGAGCGAACAATCTCCTCTGTAAAACCCAGGAACCCCTCGAAATGGAAGCTTTTGGCTGGCGTCGTATTTCCCAGCTCAGCAATCATATCCCGCATCTTCGTTGTACAGCCAGGCAGTGCCTGGATGTTATCGACCAAACAGCCATCCAAGGTTAAGAATTTACTATAGTAGGGACCTTGAATGACAGATAATCTGTCCGTTTCCCCGTCTTTCATGCCGAAATACCACCGAGGATGTCCGACGGATACAGAATATATCATGTATCTATCCTTCTCATCACTCAGACTTCTTCCTGTCCATGCTGCAAAGGCCCCAGTGCGTTCTATCGGATTTGGCGGCGCAGTGTTTAACACATCGGTGGTGCTTTTGCCGCTCCAATCCGGAATCCATGAGGGCAAATTTAGACATCTCTCCTGTTTATCTAGGTAGGTGGTGATGATATCCAGTTGAAAGTACTTGGCAATCCACCATTTAACAAGATTTGCGTAGACCTGCTGCGTGGTGAGATGGTATGAAACCACAAGTCCATCCAGTTCTTCCAGATTAGATACTCCGATGAATGCAAGGATATTGTCCCTTGGATCTGTTGCTTGTGCGCCGGAATGTCTGTTCAATATATTTCCAAACGGGATTCCAAGACCATGGCCGCATCTCGCTATACGCTGTACGATACTCCTAGTTTCCAAGAGTGAAAGTAGTTTATGATAATATCCGGGCATTTCATCCTGTCCCGTTAATCTCCTATGCTGGTACTGAGCAGACTCCATTGTTTCATCCAACCCATCCACATCAAGAGTGTCATGGCCGCAAATGAAGGTGCATTTCTTGGCTACTGCCATCTCCTGTATAACCCAGACTCGATCAAACCAAGGACGTGATAGAAGGGATCCTATTGTGTTTTGACGACGTCTTTCGTCAAAATTATCATACGAAGAGTCGTAAGAGAGGGATCTTAAACTACTAAGAGCCGATCCACTCGTCTTTGATGCTTCGCCGAGCCAAATAAGCACATTGTTGCAAGTGCTATATATCTGGCCCATCAATCGGACTTGCTGTGCTCTCTCGGCGAGATCGTTTTGGTTGATGCATAATGCATCAACCCACAGAACTCGTTGCGCAGATGGTAATCGAAGGTGCTGTAGGGCTACGAAGAGGCTTCCCGTGACTTGCATCCTAGAACCAGATACCATAATTTGACGCATATCTGCCCGATCTCCCCAACAATATGAAAGAGCTTCATAGGAGAGAGCCGTGTCGTTTATGGAAGCATGAGCAATGCTGCACACGATACCATCTTCTTCCTCTCCGGGTTCAAGGGTGAGCAGACGGAACTCCTGTTGCTTCTTGTCTAGCTTTCCGTACTTATAGCCTTCTACTGGATCGATAGTCATGGACATTTTGCCAATAGTCTCAATGGAAGCTCGGGTATGCTTGAAGGCTTAGGGATTGATAGTCGCAAACTTGAGGTAAATGTTTTTGTTTACAAGAGAAGACATTATGAATATTGCTCTTCGGGCTGTCAGGTATTGCTACTCGGGCAACAAGTGATCCATTGCTATTCGGGCAGTAACGAAGCTCACCCCGCAGAGATTGCAGACCAACCCACGAATACAAATCTGCCAATCATAATGTTATGTGGCCCTTCATCAGCACAAGGTCAAATGGAAGAGAAGCTATTGGTACCATCTTGTTTGTGGCAAGGAGAATCCGCGGCGAGGATTAATAGGGGAAAGTCACCTCCCACGGAACTGGCTGTAGAAAGGAACCTAATATATCCTAGTACCTGTATTGGTATGATCTTGTTTATAGCAACAAGAATCCGTGGCCATGATTAACAGAAAAAAGCTACTTCCCATAGAGCTGACTATAAGAAGGATGGAACCTGGAATCTGATATATCCTAACACCCGTAATGGAAGGGTACGGAGCAGTTGTGTGCTTTGCTTACCTCCAGGGCTCCAGGGCTACTAAATAATTTTATATACGCAGGTGGGCTCTGCCCTGATAGGTAGCTAAACTTACAGTGCAGTGCCTTACAGTCACTATACGTTAAGTTAAGGTCCACGGGTTCTATCCATGAATACCTAACTGTTGCAGTGAGCTAAGGCCTCCAGGGCTCTATGGATCCGTTACAGACTGGACAGTTATAGCAGCTACGAGTCCTACTATAGAGCACTTCGTTAACCTCCACTGAAACTTATAGCGATAGAAGGCGCTGTAAATTGGAAGGATAGCAGCTGGAGTCAAACACGAGCCCCGCTGTAACTGGGGCCTAGGCGTGGGGGTAAGAGCACAAGCCGCAACGCTCGGCCAGCTGGGCTTCATTACAGCTCGAATAGCAATGCTTGAAATAAAAAAGGGGTTTATATACAATTATTTATTGAGGAAAATAAACTGATAGCTCGTTAACAAAGACCAAGTACGGAGTATTGTACGTCAAATTGCGGAGAAAGGCACGACCCATGGTTATGTGGGGGTTCTCTTCTGGCTAGCCTGGTTAGCCCCCCCCCCCGCTTTGGCTGGTCCTTCCCGGTGAGTCGGCTTCTTTGTACGGTGTACCGAGGCATGGCCCACTTGTTTATCCGCGTCGTCGAATGAAAGGTGTCCAATTGCCTGGCAGTGGAAATGCCTACCTCTAGATTTCATTGCTATCCTTATTATCTTATTATTCCTCGGGTTGCATTAGATTTGATATCAAACAAGACTCACTTTAAGAAAGTTGCATCGTCTACAACTATAACCATCACAAAAGCTTCAAGACGCGCATTTACATCATTGCGGGGTGATCGTTCAGCGTGTCATCATAACCGAAAAAGCCGGACCCTTCAGCTCGGCGTTCAAGTTCATCCTCACCAGAGATCTTCAAAAAGACGAATCACTCCAGAGAAACGCAACACTCAGTACTCACCAATTGCACGTCAAACTCACCTGTTATTATTACCATTCAACATGTCGTCCAACTTTGCTACTCCTCCTCCCTCCGTCTCCGAGGTTGCCATCACCTTGCCCAGCCCCCACATCCTCCTCGTCACCATCAATCGCCCCAAGCAACTCAACTCCATCCGTCGTGAGATGCACTTCCAGCTAGACAGTCTCTGGAAATGGTATGACGCTGAGCCATCGCTCAGGTGTGCCGTCATCACTGGTGCGGGCCGCGCATTTTGCGCTGGTGCCGATCTCAAGGAGTGGAATGACATCAATGCTGCCGATAGCTCGTCAGGCCAAACCGAATCCAAATTCGCAGATGGTGGTTTCGGTGGCCTAAGCAATCGCCGTGGCAAGAAACCCATCATCGCTGCCGTAAACGGTCTTTGCTTGGGCGGTGGCATGGAAATGGTGCTCAACCTTGACATGGTCATCGCTTCGGCGGACGCCAAGTTCGCCTTGCCAGAGGTGGCGCGGGGCGTTGTGCCCATCCAAGGCGCGCTGCCACGTCTGATACGCTCAGTCGGTATGCAACGAGCCTCAGAAATGTCCCTTTTGGGAAGAACTTACAAAGCAGACGAGATGCTTCAGTGGGGTCTCGTAAACCACATCGTTGCCCGAGATGGCAGCGTTGTCGAGACTGCATTGCAGTGGGCCAGCGAAATCGCCAACAACTCCCCAGATTCCATCATTGTCGCCCGTGAGGGATTGATTGGGGGCTGGGAACCAGAAAACCCCAAGGCAAGTACAGACAGAATTCAGCAAGTCCTTTATCACAAGATGGATGGTGGGGAGAATATGAAAGAGGG